ATATATATATATATATATATATATGATGCGTGGGCGTAAAAAGCATAAAGTTATTGGGTCCCCCCTGCCTGGCCTTTCGCCAGGCGGCGCGCCACCTCGAACAACTCCTTCTTCGTGCTTGACATCGCCAGAGCAACGTGGTGCAGCTTGGCGTAGGCCACAAGGTCCGCCTTGGTTAGCTGACGGAACGCACGAGAGTGTGAAGAACTCCGGATGACGCCAGCCACGTCTGTCACGTCAGGCCCCAGCAGGAGTTGCTTTGCCCCGTCCACGGAGGGCGGGGTGCCGCTTGAGCTGCGGCGGGCGACCTCCTTCTGTAGGGACGGAGGCGGCGCCGGGGGGTACAGCAGCGAGCTCCGCGGTTCCGGCTCAGAGTCCCCCTGGGTCTCCAGCGCTCTCCGTGTCGGCCTCGGCGGCGTCAGGGTCTCCAGTTCAGCGGCACGCTTAAACACGACGGACTTCCGTGAACGCTGCGGCGTCGCTTCTTCTGGAGGAGGCGACGAAAGGCGTCCGGAGAGGCGCTGTATGGCGCGCTGTAGCAGGGAACCCTGCTCGGCAGGAGCCGCGCGTGTGGGACTGACGCTTGTGGCATCGGCAGGACGCGGCGAGGTTGACTGATGCAACGGCGGCGTCACACTTTTCGACGTGGGCGTTGGCTGAGCCTCAGGAGACCTTCCGAGCAGTTTGCTCAGCCACCCGGCGGCGGAGGAATCGGGGCGTGCGGGCGTTGGCGGCGGCGCCAGTGGGGCCTTTGGTGTGCCAAACATGCCGGACCAGCGCGTTGCGCTCTCGCGCGGGGTCCTTCCTGTCGACGACGGCTGTGGAGAAAGGCTGTCCACCGCCTCCCCCTTCGGTGAGGCACTCGAGGGTCGCGGCGGGGACCGCCCCAGACTCTCCTTCAGGGCCCGGTTGACGTACTCCTCCTGCGCCTGTGTCTTGTCCAGCAGGGCGTGCACGCGCTGCACCACGGCGTCGCAGTGCGAGGTAAGCTCCTGCGACAGCCGCACCTCCTCCTCGTCGTGCCCAGGGTGCACAGTTCGTGACTCCTTGCGGGCCTTCTTCGCCACGTGGTAGGAGTCGCCGCCCACGCGGCTGCGCACCTGCAGACGCGGCGGGACCCCCGACCTCGCCGCCTGCGTCGGTGCGCCCTCGGCGGTTGGTGGCGGTGAGCCGCGGCGGGGACCCGCCGACGGGGTGCGTGAACGCCGCCGGCTGGACACCGTGGGCCTTGCATAGGGCATGGGCTGCTGCAGCTGCCGCGGCGCCGGCCCCAAGCGGAGACGGGCGTAAATGGGGAAAAAGATCCGATGAGAGAAGATTGCGCAAAGAACACCAGGAAGAAGAGAGAGAAAGAGAGGAAAGAAAAAAAAAAGAGGAGGTGGGGACAGTGCGACCCTCGTGTGAAGAAGTGGCAAGAGCAGGGCGGGAGAGCGCCGCCCCGCCCGCACACCGCCGGCAAAGGCAAGAAAAAAGAAGAAGAAGAAAAACCGTGGATGCGCACCTTGCAGGGGGCGTCGCCGGCAAGGGCCAAGATGCACCCCAATCACCCGCTCCTTCCCTCCGTGCATCTCTTTTCTTCTTTTACTTTTTCGTTCATCCTTCTCTTTGCGCTCTTCCTAATTAATATCAAGTGAATCCCTTCCGTGCCTGGTGCCCGTGTTTTCCCGCGGGCCCTGCTCCCAGTCTCCCCCGTCCCGCACATCCACAGGCGCGAAGCCTCTCCGCCCTTTTCGCTTAATGCCCGCGCTTGGTTGGTTGGTTGCTTGCGCCCCGCCCTTCCTTCCCGCTGTCACCGACTGTGGTGTTCTTCGCCGGCTCCCGCCGCGTCACTCGGTGGCGGAGAGAAATCAAAGAAGACACCGAAGTAGCCGATAGCCTCCAGTACGTTGTGCGCCATCACAACGTACACAGCGAGGGACTGGAGCGGGTACGGCACGACGGCGTAAAGGAGAAGCAGGGCGGGGGGCAGAAACAGCGTGTAGGAGAACCGCGCCCACAAGAACTCTAGAAGCGACTTCTTCGCCAGGAAGGCGCTGCCCTTCCACCACTGGAACAGAAGCGTGTACTCGGTTAAGGCCTGGAGGAGGTAGTGCACCACAAAGACTGGCATGGTGAAGTAGTTCGTCAGGCAGAGGTAGGCCGCCTCATACGCCACGAAGAGGTCTGGTGCCACTGCGAAAGAGAGTAGGTAAAGCAGCGTGCGTGAAAAGGGGACCGTCCGCGTCGACGTGTTTAGTGCGCCCTGCGCGGCGGCACTGAGCAGGCTCGCCTGTGGCACCGGTACACCGACGAGCAGCCGGTACAGGGCGTCGTCAAAGAAAAAGGTGTACAGCATCGCCAGACGAGGGAAGAACACGGCGGTGCCTCCCACAACCCAGACCCGAAAATTCTCCCTCCGGAAGTAGGACCAGAAGTCCACGACGGCGTCGTCCTCCGTCGCACAGAGGCAGAGCCCCTTTAGCAGCTTCAAGTGCGCCGCCAGCTTCACCACCTGAATCGCATTCTCCACTGGAAAGTGCTCCTCAAAGTCGCTCGGCTCCAGCTGCAGCAAAGTTGGACCGTCCACCAGGTACTTGCGCACATACCCGCTGAACTCCGCATACCCCACCGTGTGGTTCATCCAATACGCAACATCTTGCACCGACCAATCCTTGACGGGTTTGTTCGCTATTGGGGACGCGCCGATGACGACGGGTTCCGCAGCTGTGCTCCCATGCGGCGAACTTGCCGTGCACACGGCAAGCCACAGAGGCGATACCGCAAGGAGCAACAACGTCAGGCCGCCTCTCCTCATAGCTGTCTTATCCTAGGCTTCCCCACCCCACTACCCACTCAAAGACACGCATGCATTCATATAAGCAAGAAACAACCGCGTCGCCGCGTTCATGGAAGACAAGGCAGAGCCAAATAAAAAAAAAATAAACCCCCACCCCCTCCCCCACCCCCCCCAAAAAAAAAACGAGAGCGGCAGCAGAAACCAGGCAAGAGGCCAAATGAGAGAAGATTCTAAGATGTCATACATTACATGTCTCGTCTCGCTGCAGGCCTCACCGCCTCACTTTTTCGCCCTGCCCACGGCGAGCGCCCTTGGCACGCCCTGCAGTCGGGAGATTCACCTCCTCCACATTCGGTGCCGTCCCCAGTGAAAACTCCACCGTCGCCACGAGCGCCAATCGCTGTATTTCCTCCATGCGTCTCTCCTCGATGCTTGCAAGGAGGTTCAGCTCCCACACTTCCACCTCTCGCCTCCTCGTCTCTGCCAAAAACTGCTCGGATGCGCCTCCCTGAGCAGGCACTGCGACGGACTTCTTGCGCCTCCTCGCGGAGGCGCCTGCGGCGGGCGTGGGGGGCCCGGAAACTGCCACGGAAGATTGCGTAAACATCACCAGGCTCTCACGCCCGGCAGCTGCGGCGTCACGGTATCTTTGCGCATTGAGCCGCTTTTCCTCCAATGCGGCCTTGCTAAGGACGAGGGGCTCACGTACGGTGACGCGGCGCGGCAGAGGGGCGGTGCTCAAAAGAATACTCGAAGCATCGGCATGGAAGCACCCAATTTCGGATTTCAACGTGAAGCTGTTGCCACTAGGGAAGCTAATTTTGTCATGGATATGTAAGGCAAGAAGAAATGGCTTTGCAAGAGACCGTGAGAGCCCCGCTGTGGGCGTCAAACTTGCCGTTACCGTGTGGTTCAAGACACGCACATTCTCGAGATGCAATGCCGCGGCGCACGACTTCCTTGGGTTGGGGTTGTGCTGCGACGCCGCCAACGCCTCCGCCTCTAAACGAATGTTGTCGCAAGTTACAAGGACCGCACCCGTGGTACTACCACCGCCAGCAGCCAGATCATCATCATCGCCGCCGCAGCCGTCGACATCGCCCTGGCCGCCCCACGAACCTTGAAGACTGATGCTTGTGGCGCACTCGTACAAGGGACCCTGGGGAGCGGTCTTGGCCTTTTTCTTGCCCTTTGGAATCTTTGCCTCCGCGCGGGTTGCGGAGGGACTCTCCTCACGCACAACGGGGGTGTGCGTGAGCGCGGAGAGGCCCTCCAGCTTCGCCACCTCCACGTGCAGCACAACGGCAGACGCCGTCTTCTTCACCTCGGACTGAGGCTTTGCGAGCCCGTCGGTCGCGGCGTGGTCCAGCAGACGCAGCCGTGGGCACCCAGCGACGACGGTCTCGACGTAGTCGTCCAGCAAGGCGATGGGGCAGCCGGTAAATGTGACGTCCTCCAGCAGCGGATGCTGCTGCAGCGCCCGCACGGCCGCCTCAATGCAAAAAACAGCATTGCGGGTGAGGTCCAGCATACGCAACTCTGGCAGACCCTCCAGGAAGTCCAGCCGCTCCACCACGTTGTAGGAGAGGCCCAGAACGGTCAGGGTGCGGGAGGCACACACGTCCCGAATGGAGCAGCCACAAGCCACAAGCACCAAACAGGCAGGCGGCAAGTAGGGGATAGCCGACAGCTGCGGGTTGTTGCTCAGCACCAGCGTCGTAAGGTTTGAAAAACGGGTCACGTCTTCCGTCACCTGGCGCAGTCCCTTCCCTGAAAGAATCAGATCTGTGAAGCACTCACGCAGTTCATCCTCCCGCATTCGTGAGGCTCGCTCACGTGCAATTGCGGCACTCAGGCGTTTTCGCTCACTCTCCCGCAGGCGACCCCACTTCCCGGCATACTCCTTTGCAATTTCCAGCAACCGCGCAACGCTCTCGCCGTACCGCAAGCAGTGCGCCCTCAGCTTTGTGATGGCCGTGGCGTCCTCACAGCAGTCAATATCGGGAAGTTCCTCCAATGGGGCCATCACGGGCATCGCCCCCGGCTTAAGGAGCTGCGGAGGCACAACCGGGCGGACGGCGTCGTGCAGGCACGCCGACCCGGCCTGGAGGCTTCTGCTCAGCGCCACGCCCCCCTCGCGCAGCAGGCGCAGGCTCTCGCACGAGTGACCCGTGTAAGTGCGCACAACGCCCCAGAAGAGGTCGTCGAATGTCCCAGCCGGCGCCGGCGGGAAGTCACGCGACGTGTCTGCGTTCCACGGGGCCGGCACGATCATGTGTTGGGGAACACTGCAGGCCAGGCGGCGGGGCGAAGGCAACTAACGCAATGGCAAAACAAAAGAGAGAGAGAGAGGAGGATACAACGCAGAGGAAGAAAAAAGAGGGCACGGAATGAGAGCGCGGCATCCGTCACAAGGGTCACGCTGCGCGCGGCGGCCCCGGGCGACACAGCGGG